AAGACAGCTACCTTACCAAAGGACTGGAAGAGGTTCACACTTGTGCCCATTCCAAAAAAAGGTGAGCTGACAGAATGTGGAAATTCTTGAGCACCATCATTAATAGTGGAATCCTTGTAGTATAAGTATTGAACTGCTAGCCACAGTTCAAACCTACCAATCACTCCTCAGAAACCACATACAAGGATGCTGTGATTCAGAGTTGAGTTGAATGCACTTGGCAACAACAATCAATAATATCACCTACAAGTTAAATTTTATTGTAGCTAATAAAAATATTGCAGCAATACATTGGCAGGGAGCTGCCAGAAATTCAAGCTAAATAAAAAAGAGGTTGTGAAATAAAACACATGTCCTTGCTGATGTCCAATGGGTCTTAGCTAAAAGCAGAGAATATCAGAAAGATGTTTATTTGTGTTTTATTGACTATGCAAAGGCATTCAGCTGTTTGCAACATAACTTAGTATGGATAACATTTCAATAAAAATTGTGTCTACACAGAACCTGTATGCAGATCAAGAGACAGTTAGTCTTTTGAACAGAACAAGAGGATATTGAATGGTTTAAAATCAAGAACATTATTTTGTATGCGGCCGAAATTATCTGAGAAGCTAGACTTTATGAAGAAGTCCATGCCATAAGGGTAAAGGAAGATGTATTAACAACTTCTTATTTACAATTGACACACCTTCCTTTCTGAAAATAAACAGAACTTGAAGCATTTACTGAAGAAGCTCAAAGACTACAGTTTTCAGTATGGATTACAACTAAAACTCCTCACAACTGGACCAATAGACTACATCAAAATAAACAAAAAATATTGAGGTTGTCAAGGATTTCATTTTACTTAGATCCACAATCAACACTCATGGAAGAAGCAGTCAAGAAATCAAATGATATATTGGACAAATATGATCCAAAAGACCCCTTTAAAGTGTTAAAGCTCAAAGATGTCACACCTTGGGAACTAAGGTGCACTTGACCCAAGCCATGATATTTTCAAACACCCCAAATGCCTGTCAAAGCTGGACAGTGAACAAAGAAGACTTGAGAAGAATCAATAAAATTGAATTATAGTGTTGGTGAAGAATATTGAAAATACTATAGCCTGACAGAAGAACACACAAATTTGTTTTGGAAAAAGTGCAACCAGATTGCTACTTAGAGAAAAGGATGTGGAGACACAGTCTCATGTACTTTAGACATGTTATCAGGAGAGACCAGTCCTTTGTAAAGGGCAGCATGGTGGGTAAAGTACAGGGTCAATGAGATGGACTGACACAGTGGCAGAAACAATACGTTGGAACTTAACAAAAATTGTGGGGATGGCATAGGACCAGTAGTTAGTGTTCCTTTCTGTTGTATTTATGGTTGCTGTGAGTTGGAACAGACTCAATGTCACCTAAAAGTGTGTTTATAAAAATGTATTCCTGAGATTTTAATTGGATTTTGATAGGATTGCATGAACTTTGTGGGTCATTTTGAGGAGTATTGTCATCTTAACAATGCTAAATCTTGTAATCAATGAACAGTGTATGTCTATTTATTTCTTCTTTAATTTATTTCATCAATATTTTATAATTCCTATTATGTGGATTTTCTCCATGTTCTAATAAGTATGTTATTTTCTTTGGAACTCTTAGAAATTGTATATATATATATATATATGTTGTTGTTGTTAAGTGCCGTCGAGTCGGTTCCGACCCATAGCGACCCTGTACAGGGTTTCCGAGGGTGTAAATCTTTACGGGAGTAGAAAGTTACAGCTATCTCCCGCGGAGCAGCTGGTAGTTTCGAACCGCTGACCTTAAGGTTCGCAGCCCAATTCGTAACCACTACGCTACCAGAGCTCCATATATATATATATATATATATTTCAGCTCTTGTGTGTTTGTTATTATATAAAAATACAATTAGTTTTTTTAATTTTTTTTGTATCATTTGATATTTTTAACACTTAATAATTCTAGGAGAGTTTTTTTGGTAGATTTTTTGTGATTTTCTATGATGACAATTGTGTCTTCTGCAAATATAGGTAGACCAATTAATACCACTATTATTCAGCTTTATGCAACAACCACTAAAGCCAGTGATGATGAAACTGAAGAATGCTACTAAATTCTTCAATCTGGAATTGATCAAATATGTAATATGTAATCAATATTATTGATAATTACTGGTGAGTTGAGTGTGTAGGTTGAATATAAAGCTGAAGGATGTTGTTGTTAAGTGCCATCGAGACGGTACCAACTCATAGCGACCCTCTGCACAACAGAACAAAAAACTGCCTGGTCCTGCACCGACTTCACAATTGTTGCTATGTTTGAGCCCATTGTTGCTACCTCTGTGGCAATCCATCTCATCTGCAGAAAATATGGCTTTGGTGATAGAAATTATGCTGGAGATTTCCTGGTAGAATATTGAAAGACATCTTACTGCACATATCTTTATAAACAACATAAAGTGACTGACTATACACATATACCTCAACAGATGGAATACACAGGAATAAAACTGACCATATCTATGGGAAGAAACCATGTTTATGCCTAATATTGTCAGCCAAAATAGGACCAGGTGTCAACTGTGGAACAGACTATCAATTACTTATATTCAACTTCAAGCTGAAGCTAAAGATAATGTACACAAATCCACAAGAGCCAAAATATGACCTTGAGCATATCCCACCTGAATTTAGAGACCATCTTAAGAACAGATTAGATGCTTTGGATGCTAATGATCAAAGACCGGAAGAGTTGTAGGGTGACAGGAAGAAAGAAAAGGTCATTAAAAAAATAGGAAAGAAATAAAAGACCAAAATGGATGCCAGAAGAGACTTGCTCTTGAGCATAGATAAGCTAAAGCAAATAGAAGAAATGAAGTAAAAGAACTGAACAGAAAACTTCAAAGGACAGTTTGAGAAGACAAAGTCAAATATTATGAATGTGCAATGTACATTAAAATGTGCAAAGGTCAGGTAATAGAACACAAAAGGAAAGAAAGCATTAGACATTTCTGAAGCTGAATGAACTGAAGAAAAAATTCAAGCCCCGTTTTACAATATTGAAGGCACAGTGAAGTCCTGGTGCAACACTGTAGGATAAGCACTGGACTGCTAACCACTAGCCTGGCAGTTCAAACCCACCAGTCTTTCACTGTAAATCCTATACAGTGTCATTATGAGTTGAAACAGGATCAATGACACTTAACAACAACAGCACGGGCAGTCATTGAATGATGCAGAAAGCACAAAAGAAGATGGAAGAAATATGTAGAAATGGTCGATACTCAACAATTTCATGAGGTAGTATAAGATAAAGAACTGACGTTACTGAAGGAAGAAGTCCAAGCTGTTACTGAAGGCATTGACAAGAAACAAAGTTCCAAGAATTAACAGAATACAAATTGATTTTTTTCAATAAAGTGATGAAGTACTGGAGGTACTCATTCACCTATACCAAGAAATTTGAAAGACAGCTATCTGGTCAACCATTTTGAAGAGATCCATATTTGTGTGCATACCCAAGACAGGTGACTTAACAGAATGTGGAAATTATCAACTAATATCATTATCACATATCACAAAATAAGGAAAGGTATGAGCTAAGGTTGTATTCTTTCACCATACTTAGTTCATTCTGTATTCTGAGCAAATAATCTGAGAAGATGGATTATATGAAGAAGAACATGGCGTCAGGTTTGGAGGAAAACTCATTAACAACCTGTGCTATGCAGCTGATGCAATCTTGTTTGCTGAAAGTGAAGAGGACTTAAAATACTTACTTATGAAGATTAAAGACTACAGCCTTCAGCACAGATTACTGATATAAAGAAAACAAAAGCCCTCACAACTGAATAAATAAATAATAATAATAAAAAAAATGGAGAAAAGATTGAAGTTGTCAAAGATTTCCTTTTGCTTGAATCTACAATCAATTCTCATGGAAGCAGCAGTCAAGAAATCAAATGATATATTGCATTAGGAAAATCTGCTGCACAAGATCTCTTTAAAGCATTCAAGAGCAAAGATTTCAATTTGAGGACTAATTGAATTTAAATTCGAGGGGTGCCAATATATCCATACACATCTACAAGGAATCAGTAGCTGGAGAAGGACATCATGCTTATTAAAGTGGAGGTTAAGCATAAAGGAAGAAGTCTCCCCACAAGATAGATTAACAAAATGGCAGCAGCAATGGGTTCAAAATGTAACAACAATCATAAGGATGGTGCAGTATTTCGTTTGGTTGTGTATAAAGTTACTGTGAGTCAGAACCAACTTGATGGCACCTAACAACAGCAATTGTTGCCACACTTGAGCGCACTGATGCTGCCACTTTGCCAATTGTGAGGTTGGTCCAGGATCGGGCAGAGTTTTGTTCTGTTGTGCATAGGGTCTTTATGAGATGATACTGACTTGATGGCACCTAACACCACCACCACCAACAGCAACGTATCTTCCTTTGTGATCTTTATGTTTGTAATTCTTTATAATACATCAAGTTGTATTAATGTGCCAATACTAGTGCACAAATGTGGACATTTAAGTTGTTAGTGGAATGATGGCCAAAAAACACAAACATAATCATGCTTCTTAATATTTCTTATCAAATTTCTTCCCAAAGTTACAGTCTCTGCTTTTTACTCCTACCTATCATTTTGTAAACTGTTTTGCCACAAACTTCTCAGGTTTGAGAATTATTTGTGTGTTTATTTATTTACTTAGACAAATTTAGTTTTTACTTTAAGAGAAGAATAAGCACCTAATATCAGTTATATCAGAGTCTTGGTGTGGCACTGTGGGATAAAGCAATAGACCATAGGTTGGTTTGAACCACAGGGTCAGCAGTTCAAACTCACCAGCCGCTCCTCAGAAGCCCATACAGGGTCACTATGAGCCAGAACCGACTCGATGGCACTTAACAATAATCAGTTCTATCAGTCTATATTTATTTGATTAATAATGAGGCTCAATACTGCCTTCCTTTTTATTTTAACAGATGTTGTACATTCAGGCCCTCCCAGGACCTTTCCTTTCAATGGATCCATCTTCATTTGTAGATGTGTATGGATATATTGGCACTCCTCGGATTTGGAAGCAAAAATCTCCATTGATCTGGCGTCTTGGCCCTACATACCTATTTGAAGAAGCCATCTCAATGGAAATTTTAGAAGTTATGAATAAACTTGGCCCAAGATACTGTGGTAACTTTCAAGCTATACATGCCCAAGGTATGGGGTGTTTTAATTTATAATATTCTTGCTGATACTATTTTTTAAGTGAATATTCAGTTATTTATAGTATATTTATAAAGAATAAACTCAGCACAGGTCAGTCATTAGGAAATACCTTGTAATTGAATCATTATATATTTACAACCCAACACAAAAAGCCGAGGAAAAGGAAATGACAGTATCTATTAGGTTTCAACTCCAGTGCAGCTAATGGAGGAGGGTGAGTGGGTAATACCATTAGCAAAGAAAGAGAATGAGATAAATAAATAAGTTACATTTCTTTTAATGAGGGAACTTTTTAACTAAAGTATACTATTGTCTTCAATTATTAAACAGTCAGACAAAAATCCACATTTTCATTATTGATTGCTGACTGTTGTAGTAGGGAGCATTGCTCTTTGTGCTCTGTCATGTCAAAGGGTCAGTTCTCGTTGGAGGAGAATGATACATGAACTGACGTAGGAAGCCTTGGGCATAGTGAAGGGAGTCTGAACAACTTTTGAGTGTTTGCCTTGAACCTCATTTCCTGTGGCAAATGACACTGTTCTATAAGAGCTAATGTGACAATTTTAGGTCTAGACAAAGTCTCACTGATTTTCTTTTCATGCCAGAGATTTCAGTGGTAGAGAATTCTCATCTTCCATATGTGAGGTCTGGGTTCCATTTCTGACTAATGCTTCTAATGCACAGCCATGCCACCATCCACGCATCTACCAGTGGACGGTTGAGTGGTACTATGATGATGACCAAGTGTCAGTGGAGCTTCTAGAATAAGATGGACTAGGAAGCATGGTCTAGTGAGCTACTTCTGAAAAACCAAGCAATGAAAACCATATGGATCACAATGGTATAATATACAAACTACCATGGGGTAGGTAGAGGATCAGGCAGTATTTCATTCTGTTGTGTATGGGTCTACGTGATTCAGGGGCTGATACGATGGAGGCTAGCAACATTTTTATGCCATGCTTCCTGGTAGTATATATTCTTTTGTTAACCTAGGGGCTCAGTTCTTGGAAAAGCCTAGCCCTTTCAGACTAGCCTATTTCCTTTTTTGTAAGCTGGCTTTCTTGTCATGTAGCTTTTTGGCTTCAGTGGTGGAGTTATATCTTTGATAGATGCTTTAAGCTCTCATATCCCTATATCTGAAGCACCCTTTTTCGTTTTATACTAGGGTTGATCTTGTTAGATTTCCCCATAGTTTTTTTTTTTTTTTTTTTTTTTTTTTTTTTATGTCAGAGAAATACAGATGGGGACAAAATATACAGCATATAGCATACAAACATTTTCTTTTGACTATTAATTTTCTTAGTAGGAATAATGTTCTAAATATTGATTTCCTTCTCAGTAAGATGTGAGTCCAAATGAGCAAAGATGAAACATTTGTTATTTTAGGAGAAGACACTAATGGTGAAGCTATGCCTCTTGTTGCGGAGGAGAGGGTTTCATTTGGACTTCATGTAGACAGCTCATCCATCACCAGTGTGGTAGACATAAGACACACTTACAACGAGGTGGACAGCCGTCTGATAGCCAAAGAGGTACACCTTCAAACTTCATTTGCTACTCCATATCGGGAGTCATGGTGTGGCGCTGTGGGCTAATGCATCAGACTGCAAAGTCGTTTTAACTGCAAGGTCAGTGGTTCAAGCTCATCAGCTGTTCCCTGGAAACACTATACAAGGTTGCTATGGGTTGGAATCATCTCGACAGCACTTAACAACAACAACAACATTTGAATCTTGATCTTATGGCTTGCTTCAGCTTTTAGTGCTTAAGCAAATATTAATTCATGCAAATATTTATATAGGCAGATACACATAGGCATGCTTTCCAATTCATTTGTTAAGATGTTCTTGTCTCCCCACCATTAGCATCTCCCAAAACTGAATTTTTTGTTTGTAATCACTCAGAAGAGAAAGTAAGTGCTCTTCAGATACAGCAAGAACAAATGGAATATTTGATAAGTGCTTTATAGCCTGAGAACACTATTGAGCTTCCCACTGCCCTTTTTCTGGGTGCTACTGACTTAAAAACAGTTTTCTTTGAGTTTGTATGATTTTTGTTGTTGTTTTTTAAGAACAGCAAACTTGCAAAATAGCAAGCAGATGCATTTGTGGACAAACAAGCTTTTTTTTGTTTTTTTACTAATTTTTGCATATAAAGCTCTTCTGCTGAGTGCTGGTGAATTCGAGCTTATTTGTTTTATTGTCTCCACTCTTTTGGACAGAGTGTCATCTCTGTTTACTGAGGACAGAGGCCAGGGACTAGAACCAGCTGAGTACAGTGCCTACCTTACCTTACCTCTTTGGAGGAGGTCAGAATTTTCATTTTCCTGCCCTTCTGCAGGCAGAAAAGACATGCTTGCAGAGGCTGGATGCTATCAGAATGTGAAGGTGGCAGCCCTTTTCTAATAGCACTTTCTCACTTCCAGTGGTCCCAGGCCTTCTTGTTCTCACTGATGCCTCACAGTGAGCACATGAGATATAGGTGGAACCCCTTTAACCCCGTGGGTTACCATTTGTGTTACTAACTGCAAGGTTGTCAGTTCTCATCTACAAGCTACTCTGTAGAAGATGAGGCTTTCTGCTCCTGTAAAGATTTACAGCCTCAGAAACCCTATCCAGGGTGGCTATGAGTTGGAACTGCCCTCCACCACCACAACCTATGGTACGTTCTATGATTTGGCTATAGCTTTGGAGGCAAGGCACATGAATAAAATTTTGGCTCTGTTTCCCTGACATGGGTTAAATTCTATCCATTCGCTGGTCACCACTTCCTGAATGCCAATAGAACTTCATGCATAAGACCTTTTCCTGCCTGGAGAAGTTTCTTAGAACTAATCATTGCCAATTTCTCTAGATGGACATTTCATCCCGTGACAGTGCCACACCTGTATTCTTGCTAAGAAATTGTGCTGGTCACCTCTCGGGCTCTCTTCGGACAATTGGAGCAGTTGCTGTGGGCCAACTAGGTATGCACAGATGAGAACCTTTACTACTCTTTGAGAATAAGGGCTTTTGTGGTCATTACTTGTGCAGCCTGGGGATTCTGGAGTGACAGGCAGGGCAATGCATATAGGAGAGTCAGGATGCTGAGGGTCAGGCTTATAGTCAAGCTAAGAGGTGATCCACGAACATGGAGATCAGTATCTAAATTACCTAGCACTGCTATAACAAAAAATACCACACATGTGTGACTTTAAAGAACAGAAATTTATTTTCAGTTATGGTGGCTAAAAGTGCAAATCAAGGTCTTTGTCATGTTTGTTCCCTGTGAGCCTCTTTCCTGGTTCCTAGTTTCTGATAGGGTTCTGGTGTAGGAGAAGCACCGGACCACAAAGTTGGTTAGAACTGCAAGGTTGGCATTCAGACCCACCAGCTGCTCCTCAGAAACCCTGTACAGGGCTGCTATGAATCAGAACTGACTTGATGGTACTTAACAACAACATCGTCTGGGAGCAATCCTTGTTGTTCCTTTACTTGTAGACAGGTCCTCACATGGCATTTATCTCCCCCTGTGTGTGTTTCTGTGTCTAACCTGCTTTTGTAATAAGATGCCGTACAGACGAGATTAGGTTTAGAACCCACCCTACTTATGACTTCATTGCCATATTAAGGTCAGATTTGCAGATATGGGATTATGACTTGTACATTTCTTTTGGGGGACACACAATTTAATGCAGTTTATATTACCATACAGGACATATTGGAAGTGAATTAAACTATTAACACAACTGGAGTCTAAGCCCAATGGGAGCCCATTTAATGAGCATAGAGGGCCATTAGCCTTGAGTAAGAGAAAACAACAGCCAGAGACTGATTGTTACTGTGCAATCTGGACAGAGCAAAGGACTCAACCCATTGGGATCTAGAGAGCAGGCAGGAGCCAGAGCCATCAGAACAATAAGGAAACTGAACTCAGAGAGAGTCTGGCTATTCAGCATTCCAGACAAAAGGCAAAGAATGAAAAGTCCACTCCTAGGACCGGCCTCCTAGTTGGAATGTGACTGTGCCTTTACAGTCAGCTTCTTACTACTTGAGGGCTCCATGAGGCAATCTTCAACTTCAATGTCTTTTCTCTAGTTACTGCCTACCTTTTCAGCAGTGTTTGGTGCCTGGAAATACTTGTAGCATTATGAAAGCTGATCCAAAATTTTCTGGGCTGTTTCAGCCTCTAAAGGACTCTTTGCAGTATCTCTTAGAAAGTGTTAGACCTGAGACTTTCATAAGCTCACACTTAATCTGTACCGTGTGTACTGACAGTGGCACTGGCCCCTCATCTGCTGTGTATGCTGCTGCAGGATTGTCCATGGCAGTGAATCTAGGCCTTACTGATGATATTTGATTTCATCCCAACAGGGATGAGAGTGTTTCATTCCAGCCCTGCAGCTAGAAGTCTGGATTTCATTGGAGGACCTGCCATCCTCCTGGGCCTCATGTCCCTAGCAACAGATGACCACATGATGTATGCAGCTGTGAAAGTTCTGCACTCGGTCCTGACCAGCAATGCCATGTGTGACCGCCTAATGTGGCATATCTCTGGGTACCAGGTAATGTGATCCTCCCACCTGAGCCTGGGGTGCCCCAAGAGGGTGTCTCCCTGAAGAGCAGGGAAGAGCTTCTTTTACCCCACTGGACAGTCCCTCCAGTGGGACTTGTTAGGAAAGACACCAAAAGCTCTTGGGTCCTGAGACCAACATCACACAGAGCATGGTTAGGTGACCACCAACCAGAGAGGAGGGCAGTTCAGATCGGTGAGGCTCACTGACTGTGGCTATTAGCACCTTTCACTGAATTAAAAATCATTTTGGTTTTCCCTCTTTGAGTCTAGCTTGATGGTTAAGGGCCCACACCCTGGATACAAATGATCTGGATTTAAATCTGTCCTTCTGTTAACTTGCTCTTTAACCTTCAATAAGATACTTACTCTGTCTGTGTCTCAGCTTTTGCAACTGTATGGCATTAACTATCATAGCTTTCATATCATAGGGATATAGTGAGGATTAGTTCATGTCTGACCTACAATAAATATGAATAGTCATTGCTAGTTCTTAAATTCTTTGAGCCTCTGTTCCTTAATATATAAATGGGGATAATAGCAGCTCTTAATCATAGCATTATCTTAATCATAATTATTCTGATGTGACACTGTAGGATCAACACTAGACTGTGATTCGCAAGGTTGGCAGTTCAAACCCTTCAGCTTCTCCTCGGAAACCCTATACAGGGTCACTATGAGTTGGAACCAATTCTACATCACTTAACAACAACAAATCATAGGAGAGTGCTGGTGTGGTGCTGTAGAATAAACATTAGACTACTAACCACAAAGTTGACAGTTGAAATCCACCAGCCACTCTTGGAACCCCTGTACACGGTCACTATGAGTTGTAACTAACTCGATGGCACTTAATAACAACAGCAACAACTCATAGGGATCCCAGGTGTGGTGCTTTAGGATAAGCATTGGACTGGTAAGCGCAAGGTCAGAAGTTCAAACCTCCCAGTCACTTGGACATCTATACAGTGTCACTATGAGTTGGAAGTGATTTAAGGACACACAACAACAACAAAAATTCATAGGGGTATTGTGATGAGTGAGTGAGTGAGTGTGTAAAAGAGGGACTATCCACGGTCACTGCAATTAGTTTATTTATTGTGATTGTTGCTATTAGGTGCTAGGCATAAAGTCAGGTAAGATGTGGTCATTGCCCTCAAGTAACTCATTTTATGATCTTCCTATCTCTTTGGTCCCCAGGTCAGTAACTGAGCAGAAGGAAGTTGTATGGTGGTATATAAGGCACATCCCTTCACTTGTATAACAAATGTCTTCTTCCTGACTTCCCTTATCATTCTACATTTCAGATCTGATAATAATTCTCTCTAATGTAACCCTTCAAAACTACCTTATCACTGATACAATATCCAAAATTCCTTAGACTGCGATTGTAGGCTTTTAAAAACTAGACCTCAATCTATCCTTCCAGACCCATCTCCCATCCAACCAGTATTTCATACCCTGAGCTCTTGCTTTCCCAAATCCTGGACATCATAAATTGCTCAGTCAGCACATGGGGCAACTCTGTGTGCATGTGGCCTCACTTTGTAGTGCCATCTTCATCTCTCCCCAGATAAATTTCTTCTTCTCTTCCCAAGTTAAGTTAGAAGGGTAAAGGTGATACTTTCCGTAACCTCCCAACTAAATGTGAGCTGTCTCCTGGGCTCTCTGCACCTCCAATTCTAACTGTTCTCAGACTGTACTTCCACTGTTATCCCACGTATTTCCAGTAGCTCCTAAATCTTCCAAAGGTCTGGGTTGTTTCTTATTCACTACTGACACCAAGTAAACATTTGGGAATAGAGAAAGGAAAGGTGATAGCTGGGTTTATCTTGTTGCTAGTTGCCATCAATTTAGTTCTGACTTATGGCAGCCAAATGAACAGCACAACAATATCTTGCCAGGTCCTGTGCTAGATTCATAATGATTGAATTTATATCCTTTGTTTTGGTCAATATTGATATTAATACTCAAGAATTGGGGCTCTTAGCACATAAAACTTTTATTTAATTATATTATTAAGAATAGGAGTAATGGGGTTTGTTCAAAATCAGCACATGAATATCTGCTGTGATAAGAGATTATGGTAATTATTTAGAGCATCCCTAAAAATATATAAAGTTTCATTCTGATCGGTATATCTAGAAAGATGAAATAAGACAATTGCCAACATAATTTTGATATAAATGAAAATTCAATAAAATGTTCATGATTCCCATAACAAAATATCACTATCTGTTGCTATGCAATTACTATATCCCATAAATTCTGATCTCCTTAAACAATTAGGACTGTTCTGTATATTATTTTTATCAAATTTATTTATCATCCTATTCTCAGACTAAAAGACACTTCGTTTTATAGGATGGCTTATCTTAATAAGTTAGTGGTGCAGACTCAACTTAAAAACACGCCCAAGGGAAGGACCCAAGAGATCTAGAAATAGATACCTGTAGAGTCATAGAGAAATTATAAGCTATGGAGCAGTGCCAAGCAAGCTCAGTCAGAATTCTGCCACACCAAGGTGTGTGAGTTTTATCTCAGTGGTGATGGGGAGTCATAGGAAAGTTTCAAACAGGGAAAATGTATGACTTATGCTTTAGAACAACTTTTATTAATGATAGAGTCAAAGGGGAGATTTGAACAGGTGACTGGGTTAGAATCACAACATTGCATGTAACTATTTCTGACCTAGAAAGACTCAGGATCTTTTTGAGGCTATTGGACAGGTGATGTTGCAGAGAAGGCAATGTGATGTGGTCAGAGAGTGCTGCATACAGAAAGGAAGACACATTATTAAAAAGTTAGAACATCAAGTGGGATTAATGGCTCCAAAGCTTAGAGGGGTAAGCTGTACTGGAATTAAAATTTGAGAGTCATCAGCATCATGAGGATGCTATTTAATCAAAGAAATTGAATTTTTTAAAAAAAAGCCAGAGAAAAGGGTAAGTAGCGGAGGGCTGAGGAGGAGTCACTAAGAAATAATGATACAGATTAAAACCCAACAAAAGTGATTAGGATGGAAGAGAACCTAAAGAAAGTTTTGTCAAGCAAACCAAAAGAATTGAAAATGTTTCAAGAAGGATAATTTGGCCAAACAATGTTAAATACTGATAAATAATAAAGCAAAAATAATAATAATAAGAGTAGAGATGTCATGATTAGATTTGATCTCCTGAACATCATTAATGACCTTTCCAAGGACTGAGGGTGGGAGGCAGCAACCAGCTGAAGTGGATTGTACAGGAAGATGATGATGTGGAGCCAGAGTGTGTTTATAATGCTTTCCAAAAGTTTATCTGTGAAGAAAAATCAGGAAATAGGGTCAGAGAGAGTGAATCTTAAAATGAGACCATTTGAGCATATTTGTATGTGGAAGGAAATTATTTAGGATAGAGATGGGTGAAGCTAAGAGAGAATAGCTTGACAAAAGAGCAGCATCCCTGAGGAGGTGATGGGACTATGTAGGGACCAAAGTTGTGGTATGTAGGACTCCTGCTTGTGATGGGAAAGAATGTAATTACAAGCACTCTTTTGTGATTTGTGATAGGAAACCAAGAATATTGATGTCTGAAGGGTTCTTTCTATCTCTGTAACAGAGTAGGACATATAAGTTATTTGCTGAAAATAGAGTGATGGAAATAATGGAGCTTTGGGGAGAGAGTGGAGGAGATTAAATCATCTTTAGGATTAAGAAAACCAGTTTGAGTGGTTCCTAACCTGTCTAGATGGGGCTGGTGAAAGGATATGGGGATAAGATTCTTGTGGTTCAATAGTGAATAATTGCTATCAGGACTGATTGCGATTGTTGCAAATGTAAAGGTAGACATTTTGTAACAAAAGGAGGGGAGTGGTTGATCTTGCAGTCCAGGAGCAGAGGACCCTGGGACCATCAAGGGAGAAGAGTGGAGTGCAGGACCCTATCCAGAGAAGCAGAGACGCCAGAGATGGAGGCAGAGATGATGATGAGGAGAGATGGAGCGGTGGAGGACTCAAGGAGAGAGAAGGGCTGTGTGCTGGCAGGGGCACAGGTTTGCAGGGTGTACCCTTTGGTTGTTTGAATGGTTATATTGTTCCTGAGTGCTTCAGTGTACATCCAAAAAGAAAAAAAATACCCAGAGGGAATGGAAGCAATTGTTGTTGAATGATGATGCATGGAGGAAATTGTGGTCATTGTAATGAAATCAAATACGATAGGATGAATGTAAAGCTGATGTTCTTCCATGTAACTATCATTCAATTCACAATAAAAAATTTTTTAAAAAAAGGAAAACCAGTTGACTAGAAAAATCTAGTTGGCTTACCAGGGCAAATTAATGTAAAATGAAACCAGTCAGCTTGAGTGTGTGATTTTTTTCAAGTCATGCTCAGTCATTACAACAAAGGTCTGGGTAAGAGTCAGACAAATTTCAGAAATGGTAAGAAAGTGACTAGTGTTTTGGAAGCTCATTTAGTATCTACTGCTCCCAGAGCAAGGCTTTCCAGGGCACATTGAAAGATAATGTCTGGGAGAGCAGTGAGTGATGGGGATCCATGGGTAGGTAACAGAAGAGTGGGTTATATGAATGAGAGCCTAGATGATATGGATGAGAGTTAAGATGGCATGGCTGGGCATCCAGATGATATGGATGATAATCTAGGTGACATGGATGTGAATCCAGAAGATGTGGTAGGGAATGCAGATTATATGGATGAGAATCTAGATATCATAAAAAGGAATTAAGATGACATGATTGGGAAATCCAGATGAGATGAATGAGAATTCAGAAGTCTCATGAATGTGACTCTAGCATCCAACGAAGGTTGAGAAGTCTAAATTTTGGGCAAGATCAACAGAGACATGAGATGTACTGGGATCTGTTGTGTTATTCTCAGAGACGAATATAGGCAACTAGGTCCATTGTGGCAAACCAGGGTTTCCATCCTAGGATGGACCAGGCACATGATAAGGACCCATCTGGTGACAATAGCCATAAGTTGGCAAGTGTAGGAAAACTCATAGTTAGGCAGTTGTTTCTTGGTTGGCTACAGATGTCAGATCCAGTTAAGCAAAATGTGAAAGAGCACTTAGGACAATAGGAAGAAACCAAAAGAGGGTGGCTTTCTGGAAATCAAAGGGACAAGATTAAGAAAGGAGCAGAAGCTTCCCTGCTCCCCCCACCCCATGAGAGGTCATTCCATACAAGCACAGAGAAGTGGATGCTGGTGGGAAAGGAACTACAGAAGTTGGTACAGGCTGGCTTGCTTTAATTAATTAATTAATTAATTTATGACAGCATAGGAACAAAGGATGGTAGACTGAACTGACCCTACATGTTGGTAGGTACAAGCAGGTAGAAAAGAAAAAGGATTCTAAAAATGAGTTTATGAGGAAATCCCTTTGTGCTTTAATCGTTTCAGATAATGGCGTTTTTGCTGAGAAAAAAGACCTCACTGCTAAACCATAGAATATTTCAACTAATCCTCTCAATTACTGGCACTGCAGAACTTGGCTTCCGATCATCTGCTATTGCTAATGTTGGTGTCTTCCAGCACATCCTTTGCAATTTTGAGGTAAACTGGAAACTGATCTTTAGTCATTAGGAAGAACGAACATGTATGTGATGGTAAAATATGGTAGGAAATTCTGGAACTCCATTTAAATGCAGGAAATCATCTTCCCTTATTAGCCATGATGAGTAGAAGGAAACCCACAAAGGCTTTGGAGTCATTGGTTTTGGTTTGTAATTAAATCCTACCATGCTTGGGCTAAAGGAGCTCTGGTGGTTATAGTCACGCTGCTAACTTCAAGGTCAGCAGTTTGAAACTACCAGCCCTTCTGTGGAAGAAAGATGAG